TATTCAGCCGGGTCCCACTTGCACAGTGGATTTTAAATAGTGAAGTGGGAACTGCAGCCCTCCTGGGCTGCTAGAAGAATCCATCAGGTACAAAACTGCACGACTGCTCTGAGGAGCAGTGTTTACGTGTGCAAAATTTCTGTATGGGATCACTGATGAAATCCACACTACCACCACTGTGACTGTTTCAGAAACTGAGCACATTTCTGAAGATGTCGCTTGAAAGCCAGTAGGGGCATGAATTTTAACGAGTATATTGGATTACCTACTTGAGATATTCCCAGTGATGGGACAACCTAACATTTGGAATAGCAAGTAAGAGCTAAAAATAAGAAGTAGGAGTCACCATTCAACATCAAAATTTGGAAAAAGCACAGCACATGATTTCTTTCCTGTAATAGCATAAGCATTCAAGAAGAGTACACTTGGGTTAAACTATTTCTTCAGATGGAGCTCCAAGACTCTATTCTCCTCCATCAAATATCACTCTGTCAGGGGTAAGTGGTCAAAGCTCTCTCTTTACCAGCCAGACTGAGAACATGTGGAAAGATCATATTTAAAGAAATAAGAACAAGAGGAAAAAAAAATAAAAGAGGACTCTTGATGCAACTGAACGTGATGCTGTGGTTCTAGAGTGGCATAGCTTTCCAGAGCAGTTTGCAAATACACAGTAGGTCTGGAAAAACTCCAGGTGCAACTATATGGAGAAGATCTTGCAAGACTGATTGAAATGAAACTACATGAAGACCGTTGAAAGTGTATCAAAATCTGTCAGAAGCCAAAAATGCTTATGCTCCAGCAAGGGACTGAGGCTGTTGAGCATACAGCCTGCAAAAGGGCAAGTTGTGCCAACTGGTATGTCACCATGAACACAGCTAAAGAGGGGATGTCATCAAGAACTGCATGAGAAAAGAGAACTAATTTAATGTGGTGGCATTTTGAAGTCATTATCCAGTCTAATGCAAAAAACTTCACAGCCAGGTGTAGCATTCACTTGCTATGTTGTGAAATAAACTCTGCATAATCACAGCTGAGTAAGCAACTGAAGAGAAAACTGAGAAGTTTATCTTGGCTCAAAAAAAATACCTCAAGTATGATGGTGACTCAATCATCTTGAATTGATAAGAGCCAGCGGTAAAGTTTCTAAGCTGACCTCTTCCTGCAGTGGAATCAATCAAATATAAAGGATGAAAGTCTGATGGATTTCCAAATGTGTGTTAAGTATTTTCTTACTATAGTTCATTTTTGGAAGTTTAAGATACACGATTTTCCCTGCCCCTAAGTTTCAGGCACACAATTCCAATTAAGCTATTTGAAAAGCAGGACCCCAGACAGTCAAACAGCAGCTCTCAGGTCCCAACCTGCAAGCTTCTACCAAGCTCTCTGCTATTCTGCGACTGTCAGATCCCACAGCTCTGCTTCTCCCACAGCTGGCTAGCATTAAAATAAGTCTGTATTACAATGAAAGCCTTAAATACTAGTTTTCTATGGCAGCAGATGGAAGAGGTGGACACCATCTGTCAATTTTTTTCATGAATCCTACCCTAAAGGAAACTTTATACAACATCACATTTTACATGTTCTGCCAAGATTTAACATGTCTGGTAATTTTTTCTGCAGAATTGCATGTCCTCAACTGTACTGAGGCTACAAAATTTAAACTCACTCACGTGGTTGCTTCTTTTATACCATCCTTCAACCATCAATCAACCATCCATCAACTCCAATCGGAGTTGAATTTCAGCATCCTTCTGGAAGGGCATAAGAGCAGAATGCTTCATGTCTTCTTTGCAGAGTTAAAAAACAAATCTACTTAATTGGATTATTGGTTTTTTTTAAATACACAGAGAGATGGGATACACACACAGACAGGACAGAGCCCTCCCAACAACTGGCAAAATGGAAACAAACTGACTCACTTTCTACTTTTTCCCAATTTTCAAAAGGTGAGGAAAAATCTGATGTAAACACACTTTCTCTCTCTACTGCCACCACGGGAAATAGCTGTAAGTGAATACACCATTATAAGAGAAGCACCTTGTTATCCCCATTCCTAGACAATTTCTCATGGCTGTTATCTTGAACACAATATTCTCAATTTTAACTCTTCTCTGTATTCCCACCTTCACCTTCTGCTAGGGCTTTTCTGAGTAGTTTTTACAAAACTTCACAACAGAAGATAAGAGAGACAAGGGCACTGAAAAGCAACCCATTTCTCCCGTTTGCACTCAGCTTCTCTTTCAGTCTTGCCTTCAGAATATATGCTACATCGGTAAAAAATACTGTCAGAAGAACATGGTACCCACCCATTCAGGCTCACATTTTACATTACACTTTCTTCATGTTTCATTGAACATCCTTTTTTTGTGATTACTACTGTAAGATTTACAGTATTTTCCCCCCAGACCTTCCTAAAACATACTGCCTCAGTACATTTTGTTTAACGTCACTTCTACGTGTAGTGGACTACCTAGGTAACAGAAGATGAGAAAACCCCAGAACAAGGTGTGAATGATCATTAAATATCCCCCTTTCTATATTTGAAGAAATTAGTCAGAAGTTTGTTTCTGTGAGGGTGAATATCGTAATTTCAACTTGTAATTTACTGAAATACCCTTTACACTGGGTAGTCCTTCAATTGCCTTGAGAAGTAACATCAGTTTTCCAGTACTATATATAGTCACTACTACGAGTTAGCCTTTGTACCATCTGTGGTGGTAATGTTTCTTGACTATCTGCAATTTTACTGAAGTACTCCTCTGCTTCAATACCACTTAAGTGTAAACAAGTAAGTGCCACAACTGGAGCACAGACACGCTATGAATTTACTGGTTCACAGATGTTTTCTTCAGTAGTGCAGAACTGATGTTAACAGCTTCTTTAGCAAACTTTCAACCAAACCACAAATTTCTGCTTGCCAAGCATATCAATAATAAGAGACCATCTATCTCCTGATTATTTTACTTTCACATCATGAAATCAAAGCAATGGTAGGGCAGAGCACTATGGTTTCACTAATAAGACCTCTCTACACTCAGATTTCTGATCAAACCATGGACAGTCACCATGATATAAAGTTCTATTTACAAAAATTCAGGTAGAGGTCAGACTCTTCTAATGGACAACAAGTGAAAGGACCAGAGGACGTAGTCTTAAGCTTCACCAAGGGAAGTTTAGGCTGGACAATAGAAGGCATTTCTTCAAAGAAAGAGTGATTAGATATCGGAATGGTCTGCCCAAGGAGGTAGTGCAGTCACTGTCCCTGGAGGTGTTTAAGGAAAAACTGGATGTGTCATTTAGTGCCATGGTCTAGTTGACATGGCAGTGTTGGGTCACAGGTCAGACTTGATATCGGCGGTCTTTTTCAATCTTGCTTATTCTTTAATTAGCTTTAGTTTTTCAGGATTTCAGACATTCATCAAGAAACAAGCCAGGACTTTTCAGAAACATCCAAAGGCAAACACCACATGTTATCACACAAAATCCTGAGAAGGTCTGGTCATCTGATGTGGACCCCTTCCTTCACATGTCAGAAAAGCAGTGTAGGAAAAAGCAGCATATCATCCAAGACATTTCTCAGAAGTTAAAAATATTGTCACTTGTACCATCATCAGCCCTACACCTGAAAGCAATTCTAGTTCTTCATTAGTGTTTTCTAGGCAAACCGACCCAACTTGGATAAACTGAGTCTGAAATACACTAGGCAGAAAGGCAATAAGAAGACATCAAGAAAGTCATTGGAGAAGTTTGTGCAAGACATGGAGTCTCCAAAGGAAAGCTGCTGACAGGAGGATGTTCAGCAGGACCCACAGAAACTCTTTGTAACAGAAGCCAGATTTGCGTGGTCAAAACCTGGTAGAGATGGGGTGACAATCTAGAAATGTCACAGCACACCTCTGAGCCTCACCAGCCCATGTCCTTCAGGCAGGAGAATGGCCAGTCAGTGTTAGTTCATGTCATACACTCTCTTAGGACAGGAACAAAGACACCGGCAGGTCTTCTAGTCAATGATACAGATAAGTAGGAAGTTCTCCTTTTTCACCCACAGATTAGGGTTTGAGGGGCTTTTCACATGCATGCCACACAAATATTTATGCATCAAGGTAGTGGCAAAATCAAGGAGGAAATTCTCTTAATATAGTCCCTTCATTATGATGAAATCAATAAAGCTGAACAGCATATGTATATATCCTCTGTAATAATGTCATCTTATTATGTGCATAGTATAGATTCAGAGGAAAACTGTACTGCTCTCTGGAAATCTTGTTTCCTTCATTGCAGAAATTGAAAAAGGTAGAGTAGACAAGGGTGCTGGGAAGTCAGACACCAATCCATGAACTATTCTTCCATGCCTGTAATATGAGAGCCGCAGAATATTCACAGCTTTCCACATGAAATCAATCAAGATGTGCTTGGACATAAGTGATATATAAGTGTTACATATTTTGACACATTAGTTATTTTACCTTGATAAACAAGACTCTTCAGGTGGAAGGTAGCTTTGCCCTACATGTCCTGATTCTCTGTCTCTAAAAACAAGTGCCCTTTCCCACCTTCTATTTTAAAAGAGCTAGGGGGAAGGAAGAAGAGAAGGCAACTACATATATGAAGAATCCGGCATAAGGAATTTAACAGCATTGTTTTCAAAGCCAAGTACTAATTGTGTGCAACAAAGGAAAAAGAGAGACTCTTAGAGAATGAAAATCATACATTAATAAATATTGGCTCCGTATGTAAGCACTTTTTCCAAGCACGCCAGAAGTACAATCCTTTATGAGAGAAAATGCCCCAATATATCATTATGCATGACTGCAAGAAGAGAAAGTGAAGATCATCAGGTTCTCAAAATAGCATGAGAAGTCTTTTCAAACACTGTTTACATGCAAAACCCTGTACAATCATGCCAGCATATTTGTATGTTCACCACTTAGTAACAGTGCAAGTCTTCATATTGATTTCCAAGGAATAATGCAGTCAAAACAACACTTAACATTCCATACCTTGATTATTTCCACCAATTGATCCACACCACTGTCACCTGGAAAGATCGGTTGTCCTAGTAACAGTTCAGCCAATACACAGCCTGCTGACCACACATCTAAAAAGGGAAAGGTGGAGGACAGGGAAATGTATCATTAAAGTATACATATTAAAATTAAAATATACATATTAAGCCATAAAAAACCCATCCATTTTAAGCTACTTACTTTATCCTTTGCCATATTTGATAGTGTATGCAACACAGCTAAAAATAAAAACCATTCTTATCCTAATGTTACCAGATACCTGATATAAAACAACATTGTGGAGACAGTCTTAGAAGTCAAACTGTGAGATAATGAGGGCTGGAAAATCATGTTAAATGCCACAGTACATTGACATCATCAGAACTTACACATGCAGGGAAAAGACCATAGAATGCTTGCCATTTGTAAATTGAGAATTTGCCCAAACCATGTGTCAGTTTAAATCACACATATCATGACCTATGCATAGGCATCATCCAACACAGTGGCTGATGTTTTTACTGTTTCTGCGTGTTGAATAGCCTCAGTTTTTCATACGTATATTGAAAGCGTATGTGCACTGACAGATGAGCCAGTACTGCCAAGTATTACTGATATCCGGAACTACATGATGATTAAGGAATCTGGGAAGAGCCTCTCTAACCAGTCACTTCAAGATCTAATCTTTATCTCAATTCCACCTGCCAACTTGGATGAGCAACAGAACTGCAAGTCATAGATCACATGTCAACAGCATCTGTAGAAGAAGCCTTCAACTAATTCCTGCATGTATACCAAAAGCCTCCTCCTTAGGAGCTATTTGTCCTACATAAATAAATTTTTCGCAATCTATTGCAGGTGTATTTTCTTAAATAATTAGGTAACTGGATATTACAGAAGCAACTTAGGAATGTATCCAAGGGTACTACAGAATATAGCATTTTATTTTTGGAACATATTTAACTACAATGAAAAATCGAACAAAGCAAATGCAGTAAACACTGTTTATCAAACGTTTGTGAGAATTTAATGTAATTGCACAGCAAATAAATGAAATTTTAAGCTGCTGAACACGGCAGAAGTATTGTAGTTGGATGCAGAAAACTGCTTCTCCCCAAGAATAGATGCACTATGATTTTCTAGAACGTCATCAATTGTTGAATGAATACCTGAAACCTTACACTAAAATCCAATCTCAAACAAGCAATCAGCAACAGAAGATCTGTAAATCATCTACTGTATAGAAACACCCCGAAAGGGAAAACCAGTCCCCATCCACCCATATTTCTTTAAATTCTCATCTGCTTTTATGAGCCAGCCTTATCTCCTAGGAGAATTTATCTTCTGAGGCCTGTTCCACCTGAGATAATCTAAGACAGAAATCCTTATTCCTGCATGTATTTAAACTATATCCCATCTCTGGAAGTGTTCGAAGCCAGCCTGGATGGGGCTCTGAACAATCTGGTCTAGTGGAAGGTGTCCCTGTCCATGGCAAGAAGTTGGAACAAGGTGCTCTTTAAGGTCTGTTCCAACCTAAGCCATTCTATGACTCCATGGTTCTGTAGAGCAGGATATACACAACCCTGCCAGTTACAGCTAAAGGTCTGAGTAAGGAAAACATCTGACAGTTCTCCAAGCCATCTATTATCACCCTGTCACAATCACCACAGAGTGGCACAAAATAAAAACAAAAAAGCTTTCAGAAATTTAGGATTTCTAACAAAATAATCTGCAAGTTAAATTACAGTTGTCCTTCCCCCATTTCTAAAGAAAAGAGTGAGAAGGCTATGCAAAAATACTTCCCCTCCTCTTCTCAAGAATATGGTTCAGCTGGAACATACAGTAGACAAACAGCACTGTCATTACTTCAGGTTTTGAAATAATTAACTTCCAAATCAAATGAATGCACTTTAACCTAATTTCTTGGTACAAACATTGCATCAGGGTTAATCCTAAAAAGTAACTACTTACAATGTAAAGAGTAACCAGAAATAATTTGAAGTTTGAGTCTTGAATTTCAACAAGCAAACATACAAGATGATGCTTTTTAATCTTTTAGTCACATTTAATAAAAGCTAGTATGGCCACCAAGATGTTAAGATCTCTTTTGGACAACAAACTAAGAAGGAATCATGTAGAGAACGTTTAATTGAATCTAACTGCTAATCAGTGTCTCTCTCTGATAGCTCCTACTGTTAGACCAACACGTACTGCAAAACCATGATGTAAAGCATCACTTTCTGTCTCTCCCATGCATACTGGGTTTAGAGGAATTACACAACAATTCAACAGATAGCATAGATTTCTTCAGGAGTATTGAAGAGATAGATTAAATGTACTAAGCAGTCAAAGCTCTGTAACTTAAAAGTCTATTTAAAGATATCTTTTAAAGGATTTTAAATATGATGTATCCTTTACAAAACAAGTAGTTACACCAAATCTGTAATAATTTACAACTCAAAGCCTTATTTTGCACTAAAAAGGTTATATATGGCAAGGAAAAATATTTGACAGAATATATACAAACACAAAGCTGACATCAGTCATCAACTGTAAGTCATCAATCCTAATTAACTTCCTTTTAAGATTTTAAACTATGCTAGCATTACGTTTTTCATATTAGACTGTGGCTTTTTTAAACTCTTTTAAATAACCTTCATGTCTGGCTGCTCCATGAAGTTGGCTTTGTACTGTTTTTTCTTTTCCTAGTTTCCCTAAATGCTTTTGCACTCTACCAGCCTATTGCAGACAAGTCTGTAGGGCAGAAGTCTCAAATCCAATAAAAAATTTTATAGAAACAGAGTGGAGTATCAATGTTGCTGCCAATGTGAGGAGGGCTCAGTCCCTGGAGGAAGCACTGGGCTTGCCTCAGCCCTGCTGAACTGCAAACAAGTCAAACAATGTGCAGGTCCTTGTTCAAGAAGGCCAAGCATAAACAGCAGAGGGAACATAAGAAAGCTGAGGGCATCACATGGGATCAGAGGAAAAAAAGCAAGGATGTAGGTCATGAGGAAATAGGTGGCAATGGCTGAGGAATACTTGCTGCATACATGCTGCGTTTAATCTCTCAAACATACAACAAATCCATCAGACACCTATGTAGTAGTTCCTTATGGACTGAAGATTCTAAGTAGTTCCTTCCAAACAAGACAATTTAATGTCTTGTTAAAAGTCTATTTACTTTTTCTTTATTTTACCTGCTAACACTTTAAATACACAATAAAGTAAAACACAGGCGTTTCAAAATCCCCATCTTTTTTCCAGGCATGTTACTTCACCAAGTTCCAAATTAGGACTTGGACAATGTTCCCTGGGCAAGGAAGAGAACATATTCAGGAAGCACCCTCCACGAAATCCAGAGAGTGGAGGCTAACTCGAGCAGCTCCCAAGGAGGGACAAAAACAAAATACAATATACACTGGTATTCATACAACTCTTGATAAGCAATGTACAATAAGGAACAAACTAAGAAATTTCATCTCTGTTGAAACTTGATGGTATTTATGCCATTGACTAAAATTTGGTTCCGGGATAGTGTCAGGGGTTGGCTTTTTCTCTCTGTGGAATTTTCTCCATTGTCATGCTAAGAATTTGTTGGCTACACGATAGCACGGATGGCTAGTGACAGTTTCTCTCGCAGGGGGCGGGGGTGAAGAGGGAGAACACTGAGATCAGGGGGGCAGGAAAAGGAGAGCTGGGGGCAGCTGCGCACGCTCTCTCTCTCCCTCTCGTTTGGCTCGGAGAAGAACGGTCGCTGGAAAACCTCGCCTGCCATCCCAACGCCGGGAGCTGCCTTTTCTCGGCTGTGGGACCCCGCACCGCCCTGCTCAGACGCTCTCCCGCATCTCCTGCCAACTCCAAGCATCCTGTTGGAGCATCGGGACCAACACTGCCCTGAGATCCATGAGCAGCGTCTCTCCTCCATCCCCTCCCGTCTGGGCCCAGCCGCCATCACCCCCAGTGTTCCTCCAGCCACGTGGGATCACTGCACCTCCCCCTGCTCACCGGGAGCTGGCCGGCGCTGCCTGCCAGCTCGGATGGTAATTGCACCACAGAGGAAAGGTATCCACCAACCAAAAAACCTGTTGCTGGGTTCCTGCTCTGTTTGTTGTTACTTTCGTAGTTGTTGTTGTTTTTGTTTACCTTGTTTTATATAGATATATGTAAAGAACTGTTATTCCTACCCCCATATCTTTGCCTGAGAACTCCCTAAATTCAAAATTATAATAAATGAGAGGGAGAAAAATTTCTTAGCAGATACCTGTCTTTCAAACCAAGATATAGTCTGCTCTTTTTTTTTCCCCACACCCTTTATATCTTGCATTTTAAAATTTATCTACATCAGGATGGTAACATTCTTCCTCAAGCCTGAAGTAAACAAGTACTAATTTCTGTATTTAAAGACATGTTACTTATAGGAAGCGATCAGTTTTTGATAGTTCCTTCTCAGACACTTTCCTGCCTTAGTACAGTCAAAGCTAACTGCTACAGATTAATATGTGGTGTAACTAACAGCTCTCATGGGAGAAGAAGCATTTTCTGAACTATTTCTTTTCAGTATGTGTAAGTTAATTAAAGCAAACTAGGACTCATTCCCATGCTTTAAATTAGCTGATAAACAAGCTAAGAGAGAATCTTAAAACGAAATACTTCAACAAATGGTCCTTACACCAAACTAACTGGGACAATGTGAAATTTTAGGAGAAAAAGCTGAAAACTATTCCTTTTAAGAAAGCAGGGAAGGGTACTTTCTTCATACCTTCAGTGAAATGTAGTCTAAACAATATGAGAGAGAATAAATACGACTGCCAGGCAACACCAACCTTCAAATAAGCTTTTTCCGGATAGTTTTCACACATTATAATGGTAGCTAATGCCGTATCTTTCCTAGACTAAAGAACACTTAGACAAATACCATTATCACCTAACCTACCTCCATGAATTTAAACACACAAAAATTCATATAGCCTCTTGTACTACAAAACTTTTCCTCAACTAACTTTCTACTACTTTATTGATCTTCAGAGCTGTTAGATGGACATTGTCTAATACTATAATCTCCATAATGCCCGTGCTTTTGAATACTTGAATGCATTCTAGCGTTACAGAAGGTAAGAAAACAAGAATTTCTCTTTAAATCAGGAAGAGGCACGTGTGAGGACTACCTGCAAAATACAATCCTTAGCTTTAATTCTGTAAGCGTGCAATGGTCATTTTTAGTTGGAAATTAATAGCCTGTCCACAAATTTCACTTTTTCTGATCTCAAACTCTGCCTTTCCAAGCTGAAAAGCTGGCCCTTTTCTTCACAGCACAAGCATCATTCATTATATTATACTCTAGGTCCTCTAATTTGTTATTTGGAGGACATGGAGGAGGAAGGGGAAAAAAAAGAAGGTTTCTCTCATCCACTTAGAACAAATTAATTTATCCAATACTTTATGGGGCGTATTTACCTTCCTATTTCTTTTATTACCCTCATCTATTTATCTCTGCCTCACTATCCCTTCATCTTGACGGACTTCCTGCATCTTGGAGGTGACTTCAAGTTGCTCCTCTGGAAACTGTGGAAAGAAAGAGTCAGAAAAGCAGCCCTGGGAAGCCATAAAATCTACAGCTTCTAGTTGCCACATGTCAGACCCCAAAGTGCTTTTCACTGCTGCTTGTTTGAAACAGTATTTGGGATGTCAGAACAAGAGCAAAATTCAGGATTATAGGCAGGCGTACTATGTTGGTGGTACGCACATCAAGCTAACACAGATCCACGGATTGAGGAGAAAGAGTAAAGCTGAAACATCAAAATGCTTGAAAAGACGTGTTTGTTCCAGTATTTGGAACAAAAGCTAAACACAGGTGTCTCTATTATTTTGCAATCAAGAGATGAAACTACAATGACAGATGATAGAGCAGTAAATTAACATATCTGCTTATTTTCAGCACTGGAAGTTGCCATCTGAGAAAGAAGCAAATCCTTCTGACTGTTTGTCAACAGTTCTGGGACACACCCTGCGGTGGTTCTTACCCAAGAAACTCTGAGACAGACCTACTATATATACCTGCAGAAGAGCTTCTGCTCTAGACTGCAGAGATGAAACACTCCCACTTGCGAGGAAAGTGAATGAACAACTTCATGATACTTATTTTTGGACACCCCAAGAGAAGCCAGCAATGGTCATGCAGATCTATCTTTCCCTGCTGGTGGCTATAAATGTTCCCTCTGGAATGCTCCCAACTCCTGCCAGCACAGCAGTGGAGTAAACACACTGAGACCAGCAGCCCATCCATTGCGCAGAAGCACCACCAGGATCTGGTAAGCCCTTCCCTGCCCTGCCACCTCACCTAGGGAAAAAACATGAGATTGAGGCTAAGCTCAGCTGCACAGCTTCCTTCCATACAAAAGGAACACGTGGCAATAGAAACATCCGCACACACACCTACTCCAGTGCCTGTCCCAGGAAAATGTAGGGGAACACAGGGAGCCATCCCAGGGTTTTTCAGCAGCAGCATCACCCATATGACCAGCACATGCCAGCACCATGCCATCAGCATATTCTGGGATGCTATAATGTACACAAACTGGCAAGGAAGAAGCCTCAGCTGAAACACTGTCAAGTCATAGCTGAAGAGCATGGTTTGGGGGAAAAAAAACAACAAACCAGCCCCCCACTTCCCTCTCTCCCTCTCAGGAAACCCCAGCCAACCAACAACAAAAGCAAACTAGCTGCAGGAAGTAAACGATAACCATTCCCAGCAAGCTTTAGGGACACACACACACACACTCTTGCAGAATTCATAGCCAAAGGTGCACACAAAGGCCCAAACTGTACAAGCTATGAAGGCACCCAACTGACATGAGTATTTGTGCCTGACCACTGAAAAGTCCTGTAAAGTTGTACGACTGGCACTCAACAGAGCTGTTATGGGTATGGATTTGTATCTGTTTGGCAACAGTGACTATTTAAAAATTCGAATAGGTCATTATTTTAAAAATAAGAGTCCCAGGTCTGCTGGAGGCACTAACCGCAGTAAATGTGATTTGATGCTACTCTTACTATGGTATTTATTTAAATGCAATACCACTAATGTGGTACTTTACAGAATTGTAACAAACACCATACTCTCAGGCTCAGTTATCTTTTAAAGGGACCTTTTGGGTTAGATTTGAAGTCATGCACTTCAATGAAACAATCAAGATCCTAGAAGTTAAATTCCAGTTTACAGTTTGTTGTGACATCCAGGATGAAAAGATACATCCTGGAAACAGCTGCTACACTGAAGAGCAAATAATGTCATGAGGACAAATTCATGTGTTTAAAGACAATCCGGATGAAGCCAGACAACCTAATGCAACTCCTGGTTCCAATGGTAAACAAGATGACTAACAGCTGACATCGTCATAATGCAGCTGGTTGTGCTGTTAAGTCTTGGGCCACCAAGACTTACTGCCTAGTCTTAAAAAGCACTTCTTGCTCAGAAATACTTCCAGGAGTTATCCTATTGCAGCACATTATAATCAAAGGCCCTGCAGTAACATTAATAAACAACAAAAACCTTCCAAAAAAAGCTGGAAACCTTGCAGATATTGTAGGAAAATTTCTACTTAAGAACACTTTTTGGCTTTGTATTCTTCACTGATTTTACTTTTACTGTAGTTTTACTAGAGGATACTTAGCTGGCGGAGTAAAGATTCCTGCCTTACATGTAAAGCTCAGTTTTTGCTACCACGCACACACAAGAGATTCTTACAGAGTGATAAGGACTACAGTGGGAAAAGATTGTTATGCTAACAACTCACAAGGAAAACAAGAACTAAAAAAGAGAGCATGCCAACATGTCAGTTTAAAAGGCAGTATTACCATACTGAAGCATTTCACAGTTCTTTATACTCTCAGCTGCAGATAAACCACTAATAATAACATGCTCTTTCCCTTCTTTTAATAAATCTCTCTATGCTTGTTAATTGGTTTTCCAACAAGCTGGATGAGTTTGGATGAACAATTCCACATGAAATAGGAGTTCTCACTACGCAACATTGCTGCCTACCCAGCAAGAACTAAGGAATATGTACGAACATCAGCACCACAAAATTAACCCTTATAATTTCTAGCATATTGCAGAACACCAGGAAACTGTAAAGCTTGTAAAAGCATTTCATTTCTGCTCATCTCCCAGATCCAAAGACTGCTGAGAAAGAAGTGGAAGGTGGATAGGACAGGAAAGAACAAAGGAGTATTAACTTAATTTTCAAGCAATTCAGTGCAAATTTCAAAGAAAGGACATGGAGGGACAGGTGGGGATTTTGGCACAAGAAAGTCAGAACAATGACTGAAATTCAAGGTTTTTTGGAGGCATGTGAAAAATTGCACTTCAGAATGGAATTTTTATTAGAACCATTTTAGAGACCACCAGGTAAAACAACAAAAATTGAAAGCGCAACTTGAAAAAGGGTCTGCAGTTGGAGCAAGAGACACTTCACTGGCTTATCTGTAAAGCAGTCTCTCCTGACACATAAAATACTTGTTTTATGCATTTATCCTCTGAAACAAGGTCTCAGTGCACTCTGATAATGCAGCTGAGCCAATCTCTTAGCTCTCAGCTAGCAAGATGTCAAATGGGATAAGCCACTCTCTTCACTCACAAGCTCACACCACTTTGCTTTTACCTGGGCTCTGCTGCTTACTGGACTGCACAATAATGCTGATTGCACTCACTCACACAGCAGGAAGTTAACCTGCCAAAATCTCTTGTCAGTTGATGCTGAATCAGCAAATTAAACAGCAAACTGTGAGAGCCTGGGTATCCAGGGGCAAGAGCAGGGGTGGGGTTGCCACTTTTGGCAGCAGTTAAGTTCTCCTCTTGTATCTTTATTGTTCCATTACTTTCCTCAGACTTCTCTGGGGGCCTCTTTTTCCAACCAGGAAGTTATGCAAAAAGTGCTACAATATATACCGAATAGTAACTAATGAGAAAAAGATTAGTGAGAATGGGGAAGTCTTTAGGAAAGTGTTGAGGTGGGGGTTTTCTTCTTTTTTTAAGAACTGCAGAGTTAAAACAAGCCAGCCAGCCACTAGTTCAAACACAGGAAGTTTAAATACACTGGTTATAAACATAGTGTGCCAAGAGTTGATCACGATCTCCAAACCCTTTTGAAAACATTAAGCCTTGCCTAAGTGACTCAAGTCCATAAAGCAAGGTAAAAGGTTCCCCAGTATTGTGCTGACAGCCAAATCTACTCTCTTTTGCACTAGAACTCAGAAGGAGCCCAGGTAGTATCTTGACTGAAAAACTGAAGTAGTTACCAACAACCAGCCAACACACTGTTGTTAATTTCCAAGATTTTTCGTTTTGCTGTTCATTTTTAGTTCTCTACTGTAAGAAATTTGGCTGCCTCCTGATCTCCATCAAACCTCCAGCTTCCCTAGTATTTCTATAACAGAGCTATGTGTCAGGTATATAGAAAGAGTCCTTTGTGTTCAAAATTAATGACTAAAGGACAGCAAAAACTAGCAGAATTAGCTGAATTAGAAGGACTGCTGTACACAATATTTTTAAGTTGTAAAGAGAATTTAAAGTCAATCATTAGGCCACACATACCTCCCCCCTATAAACTCTTTACTAAAAGCCAAGTAAATAAATTACAGATTTACGTCTAAACCACAGCACATCAGAAGCTGTGGCTGATTTTCTACAGATATTCTTTACAGTTATTTCAAGTTATTAAAATACTTTTCTGACTTGAGATCTCATACCTACTTTTAAGCTAAATGGCAACATTACAGAGATTTTTTTTTCACTTGTAATCAGATTTTCCCCCTCTACATTGAAAAAGCCCCTTTCCTAGTGTAATTGATGCTGAAATCTCGAAAGGTGTAGGAAGCACAGCAACAAAACATTTGCATTTCTTTAAAAAGTGATACCTAATAATTTACAACCAAATTCAGCCCCTGGGGATTTTATCTGAGATCTCTGGAAACCTTTACACTTCAATACAGGATAAAATCTGAGGTAGTTGGTACAGATTTCAACCAAATGCATACACATACCTATACTGGAGGTATAATCGGTGGCTCCAAAGATCAACTCTGGTGCCCTGTAGTACCGGGAGCAGATGTACGACACATTGGGTTCTCCACGAACCAGCTGTTTTGCACTAGAAAGGAAACAACAGTATTTCAGTAATGAACGCTTTTACAATACTGCTGTGCAGACCAACATTAAGCTTTGGCATTCTTCATCCACTCCCAATTCCCAAATGTTCAAGTACAATGTTCTTCAAAGCTGATGCAAACTGACTCTTTGATTCACTGTGAAATCAGTCCAATCCATCAAGCATCTATCTTGTAGTGGGACAGCAAAGGAAATTCTGACTACAATCTAGGTGGAAAATGGGATCAAATTTTTGGCTGCCAGCTGTCTTTTGCCAGATACAAAGGCTTGTTTACAGTGGAAAAGAGGACAGAAAACAGTTCAGTCAAATGTTTCAAAAGCTCTGGATACTCACAAGGACTGAGTGAGGTATTTTTGTTTGGGTCGTTTGTTTGTTTGCTTTGTTGGTTTTTAATTTCCATCTCAATATTCTTCCCCTTTGCTACTTAAGGGAGCGTGGTATGAGATGACAAAGAAAAAAAAAAAGCCTTTTCCATTGTATTCACATGTTAATGGTCCACGATTAAAATGAAGGTTTCTCTTATACTGTAATCGATCTGCTAGGAAGGATCTAACCTACAGTATTGCCTCAATACTTCTCTTTGAAAGAATCCAAGAAAAGAATGGACAACAAGGCCACATTACTTTGGGAAGATGAGCCTATGGGCATATTACACTTCCTTCCTAATGAACAAGCACTGGAAGGAGCTGGAAGACAAAACTTCCCTTTTGGAAATATGACATTCACCTAAATAGCACCAAACACTGCAGAATGGCAAGCCAGTCAAATCCAGTGTTCAGCTCTCCAGACACTCCTCTCAGCCTTCAGTGAAGAAGAACTTCCATCATCCATTTAAAAAAATCTCAGCTTTCAGTTTTCTATACAGAAACTACAGTTAACAAATTTCCACTGATAAAAAAATAGTAAGTATTCCCTTTTTTTGCACTGTCAGTTTTGAGCTTCAGTATGATTCCTACTTTGTTCCAACATTGGTGAGGTAGAGCTGAGAAGGAGATCCCGAGGCACCAGCCATGACGATGCACTGCTTGAATAACTCCCATCTGACATTTCCACTCACCACGGGCAAGCAAATTTAGCAATAGCAGCTTCTGTGACCTCTCACACATATACCCCAACTATTTTAGTCCACAAAGTTACAGCACAATCTAAAGACTGAACTTTCCCAGAGAGAAATCTCTCCCAGAGAGTCCTGTCTCACTGCAGATTGCCAGAATTTCTATATCAGTTCTAAGATGGGGGCTGGACTCTAAAGGTGATTCTCAGTGGATATTGGAAATAAATGTGCTTTTGGAAACTAGAAGTCCACTATCCAAGAGCGTCCACTAGAAGTGCTGCTTCTGATTTTGAGCCTCTATGGTATTTGCAACATTAAGTGAATTGTTGTACATGAAAGTAGACTGACTAGTGTAGCATCAGCCGGTTTTAATTACAATGCCACCATGCCTGTCCTCTCTTGCCCAAACACATTTCACTGCAGTAACTGCTTCTGTTTTTCCATGGTGCAGTATTTTCCCTATGTCATGATGTTGATTTTATTTTTCTAATACCTGCAAAAATAAGAGGCATGAAGTTGAATTCTCTCCCTCTGAATATCCTTTTCCAGCTCTTCCCTGCCACTCCTTTGAACTCACTTTGGGAGGAAAACAGAGTATCAATAATTTCTCTTTTAAGCTAAATTAAAGACCTTCTAAGGGATATAGAGGATTTCTTGGCCAAGTTGCATTAAGGTTCACTTTGAAGGAAGATCTTTTCACCAGTTTTCAGGGACAAATGTGCTTACCTTCCAAAGTCGCAGAGTTTTAGAACAGCTGTATCAGGGTCCAGCAAGAGGTTCTGCGGTTTTATATCCCGGTGGCAGATCCCAAAGGAATGGATATAGGCTAAACTCCGGAACAGCTGATACATGTACAACTGTAACGCAGAAATACCAGTCAAATCAGGGTAAACAGTTAGTTTAGCACAAACCCTTAGAAGAAAAACAAAATCACCAAGAAGAAGACCATACTGAATGCCTATTAGGGTTATGAAGGTGGGCAAGGTCTTTGCATACCTTCCCCACCACCCTTTTCTACATACACGCACATGTGGTTCAAACCTTTTTATGTGTCCTTTGAGATAGCATAATTAGCATAATTACAAAGAAATAATTGTGCCAGTTTTCCAACATATGTAAATAACGGCAATCATAAAAAGCATACACAAAATAAAGGAGTTTCAGTTTGCTCTACAAATCAGCCTCTTCACAGCAGTGAAGTATTACAGGTTATTCAAAAAACCCAAAACAATCAAACAAACAACTAAAAAAAATGCTCCACAAAATCCAAAAGAAAAGCCTTTAGTTGACAAAGCTATATTAAATGTTGCCCAAAGACAAGGGTAGTGTCTCAGCCTGTCACTGAAGTGGATCTCCCAGTGTCTCTTCCTGAGGGGACAGAGTCATTTTAATTTCAAATCTCTGGACAAAACCAGAAGGCGAATAAAATCAACTTTTCAGAATAACTTTATGCAAGGCACAACAAGAAAGTATGCTGAGGGATAGTCTTTTTTGCCCACTTTCCAGTGCTGGCTCACCCCTTAGCAACACAGAAAGGGGAGATATTATGAAGCCAAGAACTTCACAGGACAATCTTAGAGGGCAAGGGGGATGTCTAGCTTCTGGAGCTTTGTATTTTTGATTATGGATAATAAAAAGCTGCTAGATACAATTAAGCATGTATAGCAAATATAGTCATAAAGGCATGGGAAACCCTGTTTTAAGGTTGACAAAAGGCTGCCAGATTATTTTTTATTTTTATTGTGTCCCCACAAGTTTCCACTTAAATCAAGCTACAGGCAGGACACTATACCAGAGATGCACCTCCACACTTTTCTTTTACATGCACATTTTCCACAGTTCACTTTTAATAGTCTATACAACCAGGTGTAATTACTTGATATTGCTATCAGGTCATGTTTGCCTCTCTTTCACCACTATCTTTTTCATCACACTTTCTCTCCCCCTTGTTTTTTGTTGTTTGTTTGGCAGGGAAGTAGGAGAGGGAGAAGAATTGCTTGAATTTTGGCTCTAGGCCTCTGGTTTTCATACTTGTTTCTGAAAATCACAATTCTGCACAAAGAAAAACAAACAAACATTTTTTCCGAATTGCCTGTTCTAGTCCCTTAAGTATGCATTGTGCAAGTGTATTGCAAAATAATGCAAAAGACTGCTCTAACGTGAGGGGTCAAGTCAACAATGTGAGATTTAGAAAGTATGCCTTTCATCTCTACACAGCAAACCCAAAATTTCCAAGGACTCCTTACAGCAGGTTAGAAATTACAAATAAAAATTAACCAGAAGATTACTAGAACAGCTTCTGTGCAGCTGTAAGCTTCTTTGTTACCCAGGGAAAAGCAGCTCTCTACCTGTCTAGTTATCCATCTGAAGCGAACAAATAGGTATGATCTGACCTTTGTGTAGCCAAGATGCCTAGAAAATTGCAAAATCCTTAATCACATTAAGGTAACATGATCTTTTTAAATACAGGATTATATAAAAGCCTTGCCAGAAAAATAAGAATAGCTTTCCAGGCTACCTGGAACAGGAAGTCCCAGGCATCCTGCAAGATGAAAGAGTTGAAGCAGATTTTTCTCTGAAAGTGTACGGAAGAACAATTTTCTCAAGTTCCCATAACAGAGAACAATTAGGGCAAGAATACTGACAAAAGATATGTAAATAATTTATCAAAAGCCAAGCCTACAGATTTTGGAGAGCACATAACCTGAAGACATGCTGTTCCACCAACAGACCAAACAGAGTGACCCTGAAGTCTGCTGGATGATAAAATTTTGTGCTTTCTTAAAAATCAGACAAAAGTGATGCCTATTGCAGAGACATGCCATTTACAATTTATCCATATAGTTATAGCACAAAACTTCATTATTGAAAGAAATAATTACTATTTTTAGCTTGCACCTTTGAAACTTTGATCTTATTTCAACCAAACTCAGGTTTTTTCTTAACTCAATCCTTTCATTAAGCATTATACTTTTAAAGAGGCGTCTGGAGAAATCAATACTCATCAGGAAAATTTGTTGGCAATTTCCACTAAATTTTACTGTATGCCATGTTAACAAGTTAACGCCATGTGAAAACATTATCATGTGTGTGGATTGTGGTCTCCACAATATATGAAATGGAACTATGGGACCTCAAAATGAGAAACTTTATTTTAACCTCTGTGTAAAAGATCTAGACAAGTTGATTAAGGTTTTGGAACTACAATGTGCATACAAGCACCTTATCCCACGTAGCTTTTGAAGACATAAGCCAATGAGCTTCAAGTGGAGACAAAAATGTGCCTTTCATGACCTCAACAAAAGCACATGAACTCTTACTCATACGCCAGGAAAAGGGGAAGATAACAGATTAGGGAACATCCTCTTGACATCCTCTTTCAGTTCCTGACCTTTGTTCTATTATGTCTTCACCATCTCAGGAAACTGAAAGCTGCTAATCTGGCTGGCGTCTGTCTCCATCTAAGCCGCTTCAAAAACAAAACACTCCCCCCCATACTCAGTCTCCCCAGTCCATTCCAAGATTTCTGTAAGGTCAAAAATTGGGAGTGTTTGTTAAAGTCTCAACCCTCTCTTCTTCCTTTGCCATAACAACAAGTAATTATGAACTTTTTTTTCCTTGCCTCAAGATCTATTTGCTTCTAAAAATTTCTGATTATTTACTATTATGTCAGAAAAGAGTATTCACAGTGTATTTCTACAATATCTTTCTTCACCTAACCACATCTGTCAGTTACCTACCTTGACATAAATCATAGGGAGTGTCTGTTTGGCCCGACTATAATGTCTGGCAACTCTGTATACTGTTTCAGGAACATAGTCCAGCACCAAGTTGAGGTACACCTCATCTTTCTGAAAGAGAACAGAGAAGAAAAACAAATCAGCACTAGATTTGAGGCATGAAGTACAATAAAAGTGTTCAGAGAAATCTAAAAGAAGAGAAAGCTGTGGACATTTTGAGTATCATCTTTAGTGTGTGAACTGCCATGGAACTATTTAGGCTTTGCGCTTGTGCACTTGTGCATTAATAGTTCTGTCAAACTTTTGTTTAATTGTTCTGGTCTCCAATGTAAGATATTTTCAGATTATAAATGGAGACAAGGATAGAGTTGTTCTGCCCAGTCAGTATTTTCATTAGGAGAGTATTTCAAGGTAACATCTGCATAATTAGTTAAAACAGCCTATTAACTCATTAGTGCCTTACCTGCCAAAACCCAACCAGTGCAAATTTAAAAGGTCAAAACTCAGCCCCCAACAACAACACATAAAAAAAAGTTCAAACAACCTTCATCTTTTAGAAATATCACTTTCATCTTGCTGAATTCCCAGCTATTAAGAGATTAATATATATTAACCATTTGTATACACTAAGCCAGCATTAACATTTGTAACCATTCTGTTTACAGGTATTTCAATGTCCAGTAATCTCAAACATATGAATTTATTCATGACAAAAGAGAACAGGCCAAAACCAAAGTCTGAAGTGTAAATTTTAGTATCTCGGATTAAGTTAGAGAGTCAGGTGAACATAACACAAAAGAAAAAACAGAAGTAACTTTATAATGAGGTACTTTGTTACATTATAAAGTACCTTATACATTAGCAAAGGAAAGAAGGAACAAAGAGGACTTAAATGACAAAATACTGTAAACATATAGTGCTTGACTGCAAAACTGAGACTTTTCAGCAGTAAAACAGGTCTTAAAGAGACTTCTGATATTTTAATGCAGTGTTCAGTGCAAATCCTACCAGGACTGTACATTTAATGTTGGGGGGTGGATATAATTAACTATATCAGCATGAAAAATTATTTTGAAAGCTAGTGAATTATCTAGAAGTAACCTCTCCTGCACGTGCTATTTTATCACCTAGAACTTTCTTTAGAGAAAGACAATACAGAGAATTTACATGGATGCAAACAGCAGAGAGCTCCCAAGTCTTCGGCTGGAGGCCCTTGTCTATCTATATCATAACACCTAAGCCCAAACCTTATATAGCTACAGCAATTTAATACTACTACTCTACTGTGACTTGACCTATCACTTCAAGCACAGAATGCGGTGTGTTTCTCTCACAGTGCTCTGCTGTCCTGCCACAGCAAAGAGCAGCAGTCTGGTACACTGTAACACAGAAATACACACCTTGAATACATACGCAGAGAACTGCTGGCTTTGTGCGCTTTTAAAGGCTTGGAATTCAAGATCTCTGTTCACCATAATTTGACAATAAAGGCTTGTATTTTCATGACATTTTAACAGCTCTTACCAATACCTCCTAATAGAACAAGTCACCTTGCATGGCCCTGCTTACGTCATTCCTCCCTACAAAAAAAAAAACAAAACTCTTTTCTTAATATCACTGCTTAAATGACAGTCGCAATAGCACAACACTAGGCAAATGACAATGGCCCACCAACTTGTATCTATCTGGTCTTACCGAACTTCACAAACAAGGACTAACCTCTGAAACCCTGCCTATGCTGGTGCTTCTCCCAGCACAATCCCATGAACTGGGAACAATGTGAAGGCTTCTGGGGACCAAGCTGGGGAGAAGAAAATTTTTTAAATGGATGAGAAGGGACAACTACCAGCAGTGCAGAGGATTTAGCTCTGGAAATGGCTCTGGAACGCCACAGATATGCAAATGTATGCAAGAAAGAAAACAACAAAAAAGCCCCAAAAACCAAAAAACCCAACGAACTTGTATTTTAGCATTTTACCTGCAACAAGAAAAGTTCTTCTTTCCCTGACTCTCACTTCAAGTCAATAAAATTCATCCACCACCTCTTCTTAGGTCAGAGCTTTCAAGATTTAGTTATAAAATACCAAAAATAACTGTCCTAAAAAATTCAAAGTCAGCTTATGCCTGGTAAGGCAACCTGTAAACCATGAGAGAAAACAGTTTCATGAATATGAATGCTGTTTGCTTCAGTGTAGATACAACCTGATGAATATGCTAAATGTCTGCCTCTCAGAGGATGGGAAAGTCTTACTGGTGACAAATCACTTCACCAAGTACTGTTACTGAGATTAGTTACTTTGATCCAAGGATTCATGTTTCATGTATTTCATTCATGTTTCATGTATTGAAAATATTTACATAAGAGATTTGAGGAAAAAGATGAGTAAAAATTATAGTGGTTTTATATAATCCTCTCATAATACAAGCAAAAGGACACATGCAAAACAGTAGAAAATATGATCAGAAAATTCTGTCTGCACTACTTCACAGCAGTGAGTTTTGAGAATTACAGAGCTAGTCTCTAGTTCATACAATCTTTGCTTTGCTTTTAGTGCCTCAATTTTTATTTCTAATTTTACATTCTATTAAAAATGGGACTAATTCAATAGCATGGCATAACATAAGCACAAAAAACCTAGAGGCATTTGCATCTTTAGAGATGGAGACTTCTCAGTTTTGATGCCATCCATAGTACCTAAACAAACAGCATGGGTTTTGTGTGTTACTGCTCCTGTGTAAATCTCTATCACACAGAACTCAAAGGCACATGAACACCTTCCCCCACCCCACCCATCAACTATCAGGTTTTGATGTACCACTTGAGGGATCCAGAACTCCAATATGCAGCTATAAAGGCAATGCTTAAGTCGTTGACCATGTAAGTAGTGGCATATTTCACTTCTATCACATGCAACTGACTCCAGAAGTTCTCTTAATGACTGCTATAATGGATTAAAGACTATTCAAATGACATCCTCCTGATGTCATCTGGCACTGGTCTGATAAACATACAGGAAAGAGTTTCACAAGCCCTGATCATTCTCAGTGAGCATGAACTGGATGAATATAATACCCAAGTTACCTGAATTCCCCTGAACAAGATTCAGGACAAGCTAGGAAGCCTGACAAGCTCTAAGCATGATGTAGTAACCTGTTTTTTCTACCTCATGCATTCCTCCTAAACACTTATTTTTCCACTGACCCATATGTATTGCAATAGGAAACAGAGTTAGCTGAAACAGCTTGCCAAATGAGGGCAACTGCTCGAGGATCAACTGGGACGATCAAGGCATATCTTTCCATTACAGGAAACCTCACCATATATTCCACAAGTGACTTGTTTCCATACTGCTGTTTCAAAACTGCTGGTCTGGGAACAAACCAAGGTAACCTGACTGTCACGTCTGAAATGACCAACAGAGAAAAGTCCAGAGGAAGCTGCAGCATACAAAAAACAGAAAGCAAACACAGGGTGTTATTAAATAACTCACTTCTTAAAGACCTTAGGGCTTACTAGCTTTCTGCTGCAGGTCAAATGTTTATGCGTATTTATATTCTCCTGTGCTTGCTGCTAAGGTTATGACCATGTACAGTTCAAAATAAAGAAGGGGGGAGGGCAGAAAGCTGGATCCTGAAACCCAGGATCCAAGTATTTCATCAGGATTTTGACTTCAGCAATGTGGCTCATGTACCAGCAACTGTATCAGGTGCTAGAAGCTGCAGATAAATCACTTGGCAGATAAATTCTCAGTTGACAAACACTGCTCCAAAATGAGCCACAGCAAAATAACTACTGTTTTGCCTTCAAATCACTCTGCACCTCTCAAGAATCACCAATTCAGGCACTGTTTCACTTTGGTGGAACACTTAATGCAAATAAATATTCACACAACCTGTACCATAATAAGAGGCATGAGAAAGACTGGGACACAAGAGCCAAAATATTTTATCAACTTCATATTTTTTCTTGTGCCAAAACTTGACGACAAAACAGGATGAAAGTACGTGAGCATTACACACAATGTGGCTGAGGACTGAGTGAAATTGAAAATACTGCCTTACTGACAAAGGAAAGGCTGCACGGAGGTCTCAAACTCCACTTTAAAACTCTTCTCTCTTTCAGTCCAAATAAGTAATCTGTTTAAAGCACCCTCCAGTTGTGCTTAATTGAGGTCAATATAAAGAAACAGCTATTGAATTAAAATAAAGCAATGGCTGTTGAATTCAAATATTCACTTTTCTAGATTGTTCCTTGCAGTGATAGCTAAAGTATTGCTTCTCTGTGATCATCCCCTACCTCAACAAACCTCAAATTAATCTTGAGTGGTTCCTATATGCTTTTATTAGCTTTTGTTTTCATGTATCAGACACACTACATTTTCAACGTGGACATATAAAGCAGCAACCAATATTTAGTCAGTCACAGTACAACTATTTCTCTTATCTACTACCATGATGATAGAAGCCGGGGGGGTCATACATGCCAAACACCAGACTGACAGCAAAAGGAAAATTCTTACTCTGAAAATACGTCAGCATCTTATAAGACGTTGGAAGTATTCCTGAAATGCCAAGGCCTATGTGGAATCTAAGGAAAACTTCTCTGAACATCAAGTAATAGGATTAAAAGGTTAAGAAACTATTCTGGGTGCTCTTTCTTCTAGGGCGACCATATTAACTGCTCAGCATTTGGAAAAAGTGATGAAGATGCTCATTTCAGTTTGTATCTCCTGGCAGATTAGTAACACTGTGACAGTTCTGGCAGCGTTTGGGATGTGTTTTCCTTTGCTTTCCACAGACTCCACCTGATCAGCTGTATGAACACAACTGAGAGGAGATGAACAATACAGGAGTTTCTTAAATTAACTTTGCATTAGGAGAAATAAATGTGGATTTGCATTCTGAAGAAACTCGCTTTACATGCCTATTCAAGCTAAATGCACACAGATAAGCAATATGCCCAAAATTAAGTAATATGCCTCCAAAATGTACTTCTTGTTATTAAAATTATCCCAAGCCTTCAGTATTAGGGCTGTATGAGGCAAATAAGCCAACCAATTTACTCAAGAGGATATTTTCTTTACCATATGACAGCACCCCACTGATGATGC